CTGGTAAATTACAGAAAATTTTCAACGCATATCACTGCCGTAAAGTTTGAACGAACAAAAGAAACAATGACTTTCTATGCGAGCACTACACATTTGCGACAGGAGAAGGCGTCTGTTGTCGGAGAACTCTCTGTTCGGATAATAGAACGTTTGGATAATGGAAAACGTTCGAATATTAGGGTATATTCAGATAATTGGAGTTCGGATACGGGAGGCTGTACAGTACGTACTAGTTGAAATGAAATTTCCTTAATTCAGATTACACGTTATACACAGTGTCCCGTTGAATACCACCATTTAACCCTCATCTGTCTCTTCAGCGTCGGACTAAGGGGGGTTAGGGGGCTAGGGGGGACTATAGACCCGGTTCCACTTTCAAGGGGGATCCCGATATAAGCCTTCCCTTTATATAAAAAAATAATTCAATAAAATTTGTTTACTGTTTCCTTTTTGAAATAATTAAAAATTGTACTAAATATAGAAATAAATCGGATTAAAATTATTAAAATATAACAAAGCATTGTTTGTTGTAATCAAGTGTTCATTAGGATTACATGACATTTAATTTTAATTAAAATATTTTTCAATTTTATTGTATATTGCATTAGAACAATTGTGCCCCCCCCCCCCGCGCTTTTCATTCAAGGGGCCTTCGAAGGTTTAATAGCCCCGGGCTACAAGAAATCTTAATCCGGACCTGCGTCCCTTGTGTCAATTCGTTACATCTTTCTTCTAATAAATGATGTTATTCTGGTCACGTGTTGATAAATGTAATTGAGGCTGCGTGACTTTTATTTTAAATAATTTCCAAATTTAACTATTTATCTCTCCATTAGGATAAACACAACAATGAATGAATACTTGAGAGATTTTGTAACTACTAATCTAAATTAGACTTAAAAACGAATTTTGAATGATAATAATATTAATAAATATTTGACACGAGAAAATTAGATTTTTCAATATCTATATCTTCCTATAACGTACCTAGATTTTAGTTTAAAAAATTGACAAAATGGTATTAATTAAATTAAAAAGAAAGAATACCCAATTGCACAAGTAAACGAACAGTACAGTAAATCCTCGTTGAGTGGTCGAAGACTCGGCAATATTAAATATGTCATAAACTGATGGCCATATGCGGCTAAACCAAATATCATTGGCGTCAGAATTCCAAGCTCTATCACTGTGCTAACCTAATTAAGAAGCCAGCGTTAAAATTGGGGTCCTCTCCTTGTCAATGGTGACGAGCATTTGAACACACATCAAGGATTTACTGTATTATGTAAATGAACCTTTCTAACGAATCGCTCGAAAATTGTTTGAATACGAAACAAGGAATTGCAAAAACTCAATATTTAATCATTTCCTTACTTTTAATAACGTAATTTACTTGTTTCTATATAAAATGTTAATTCATTTACTGGTGCATCCAGTCTATATTAATTGTTTTATCACTATGTTAATCCAACATCGAGGGACATGTAATGTTTGGAAAATGAGGATGAGGGTTAAAAAAACAAGAATAACCGTTGGAATACCGTGTGTGTGTGTGTGTGTTCCATGCTAGAATGATCGACCAATTTTTATACGATCGTCTTTGTAACAGTCATGCGAGCAATTAAAACGGTGCCACATCGATCCTACCGAATTATGGGCTGTTACAGAAATCAACTGGGTGAGGGGAGAGGGGCTATCCCTCGCGTCTTCGTTGTCCACACGATGATGCACGCACATTAAACGTTAATGTCGCCCACGATTCCTGTGTTCCGGCGTAACGTTTTGTTGTTGCAAAACTCCCCGCGAGTTAGTGGGGGAGGGACCATGCCGGATTGGTCAGTGATATCGATGCGTCGTCACGTTCGGGCCAATGGCTTCGCCGTGTCGGGTTGCGCGGACGCGGTGACCAGGAGCTGAAGCTCGCGGGGGCCCCGCTTCCTACCGTGAACGTCGCCGCCGACGACGTCAGGCGACGTCGACGACGTTCTCCGTCGCGTACCCCGCGCGCTTCCGCTACTCGCTCCACTCGTAACCATATCTGGACTTAATTATTGGTGAGTCGTGAGTCTTTTCCTTTTCTTATTACTGTTTCGCCAATTTTTTGCTTTCCTTCAGTTTTTCCACAATCTTTTTGTTATCTGTGGTTTTGTCTCCACACCACCGTTTCAAGGGAAGAACCGTACCGTTTTCGTTCGGAAATCGGAAGTCCTGCAGCAGTTCCGTCTGCCGCCTCGGTGATGAACTTCGGGAATGGAGCAAGTTACGATTGAAATGCTTGTAAAAACGGGATTTGTGTCGATGATCGATGAGTCCAGTGACTTTTTTCCAGTGCGATTAGTGTACGTTTTCTTCTATTTCTGACGTAACTGTTTTGAAATTCGTTATGGTATTCGGCCAGTTTGTATTGTGGATTTTTGGATTTTCTCCGCTTCGGAACGGCAAGTATGGAAACGTTGGATGATCCACTGTGTGATTCCCAGCGGATTTGCTAGTTACGAAGTTACTTGTGCGTGGAAGTGATGATGTCACGAAGGATTACACAAAGAGATACGGTTTTGTTTAAGGGATCGGTGATTCGCGAGATTATAGTGGGGAGTAGTCGTTTTGCTCTCGAATCGAGATCACACGAATGTCCGAGATCAAAAGGACGTCAGCGACTTTTTGGTATTGATCTGCCGAGGAAAGGCATCGGACTCTCAGCTCTCGAGCGTTCGGTTCTGTTTTTCGCTGAGAAATTCTGAATATAGCGAAAACACGAAACTTATTTATTTATAAATAACTAAAAGTACTGCAAACAACAAAAGAAACGTAAACTTTTAATTGTTTCGTTGAAGTACTTCTGAACAATCTCTAACACATATCGTGATTCAACTTCTGAAACCTAAATTTTATACGGCAAAGTGGAGATACAACTACTAAAATACGAAATATATCCAATGACAAATTTCGATTCAATTTTTCCAAGACGGATTTTTCATTTTTCAAACGATATATTCCTGAATTCGCTCAATTTGTCCTTAGAAATGTACATTTGAAGCCGTTCTATTTGCCAAACTAATTAACTCTACAAAAATTTGACAAAATTCTAAAGGTATAATAAGTTAAATATAAAAATAACTTTTCAAGTTCTATTTATATTATTGATGAATTAATTTTCAGACAATAAACTAACTTTAGTTAGCCACTTTGGTCTGTGAACCGCTTTTACAACTTTATTGGTCACAAATTTAATCTATCGGTAATAGAAATGGATCCTAAAAATTATTTTTAAGTATAATTTGTCCCATAAAATTCAAAGATTCGATGACAATAAAATATAAGAAGTAAAGAATTATTAATGTCTGACAATATTATAGCTCCACGATATCGAGCGAGGAATATACTTCAAATAAATATAAAAGCTTAAAAAGCCTATATTAATCGGCATATTCAATAGCATTTGATGATTCTGGTAAAATGCATCTGAAGGGTTGTTCCACCACTTCGCGCAGAAAGAAATTGACGGGACCTGCATCCCCTATATAACGGCGGGCAACGAGTCGATTAAGTGAAATCAGCCGTTTCCATCTTCGCTGTTCCTCCCCAGTTCGTTAACACACGTGCTGTGCATTTCACGTCTTTTGTCAGTCACGTGCCGTTTTAATATCCGAGTGCCATTGTCCCCGCGATACGTCTCTTTGTGATCGGTTCGATAGTACCTAAGTCCACCATTTTTTATTTCGGGAATGTGTAATAGTGGAGTCGCCTCGGGCTACGAAACACGACGTTCATTAATCGATTTACCATCTGTAGAATAGAGTGAAACAAGGATCGTCATCGACATTCGGTGAAAGTTGGAAATTTGTCATGGTCAGACTTTATTTTTTTTTTTTACAAATCTATAATGTTTCTAGGTTTTTTCTGTAAAGAACAAGCCGTGAATCTCTATTCTGATTCTACGTGTAACGTTAATCAAGCTTCATACCGACCCCTCGTGGCGTCGAGCAATGTTTTGGGCGAAAAGCTTAAATGAAAAATACGACCTCGGGACAGGAGGCGACGCGTATCTTCTCGCATTTTCCACCCTGCAAAGACGTTCCCCGGAGAATTCGCAGATTAAGGCTGGAGAGACTACCACTCCAAATAAACACCCTTACTCCGAGTTTCCCCCCTGTGGGGCTCTATACAGAGAACGAATGCCCCGATAGGCGCAGACGTTTAAAGGAGGAAATACAGTCGACGGGGGATAGACTGAAATATTTGACCAGCAACGCTGCTTGCAGGCTCAAGGAGAAAATCGAGAATCAGTTCTTATGTTCCTGTATCTGAATCTTATGATTAAACAAGACGAAACAATTCTCTTCGCGCAGGGAATTGTTTCCTTGTAAAAAGAAAAGATTCCACTACGCGGAAAAAAGATTCATTTCGTGTTCAATAAATTGTTGCATTGCTGTTTCTTGACTTAAACTCGGTCTGAGCTAAAATCGAATTAGAGAAATATATGTCGCTTGATCGTTATTATGTGAACTATTTAAGTTGAATAGGTGTCAAATTGATTGGCTGGTTTTTTGGTAAAGAATATAATTAGAAATTAAAGGCGGAGTTTCGGGTAAAATTTACCCGAACAGTGCAGGAGGATTAACCTTTACGCTGCCGGAAATATGCCTTTCGAAACATTGACAGAACTCGAAATTCAGCGCAGTGCATATGTGATATAAAGTTTTGCCTCAACAAGACCAATTATTGATGAAAAAATGCCGGCAGTCTAAAGGTTAATAGAAGACTGAAGTATAAATGAGGCTTAACAGTCTGGTGATCGAAGGGTGGATTAAAATAGTTTAAACAGCTTGAAACGTTATAAATTCACGAGATAGGAAAAGTTTGAATGTATCTAGCTAAGTGGGAAACGACCTTTGACGAAGGAATTTATTCGCACGGATTATAACTGTTGATGTGCTTCAGGGGCTGCCGATTACTAGCGCGACCATTTCCAGCCCAAGAGCAACCCCAATAATTGGAAAATGTCCGGATTCGCGGCGGCGGGCTTCGTGGCCTTCGATTCCATCAAGTCGAAAGCATCGGAAAAACTTGCTGGGTAATATTACGCATGCCCTGTGCATGGAATGACGCGACGAAAAATCGTTTAAGACTATATTTCGCTCGTGCAACCGAATGTGATCATGCGCAAATCGACGGACAGCCCTTTCACGTGAATGGCTAATTGCATTACATAATGAGTACTGTGCGTTCACCGGAACTCGTAAATGATCTTGAATCAGCAGATCAGCCTCTAGTGATTTCCAAGAGACACTTTAAAACCATAAGAAAAATGTCAAATAAATCGTGGTTGTCAACTAGTAGTATATACTTTCATTATCATTTTCTTTGAATATATATCTGTAGCAGCTTCTATAGTTCCTCTTTAAAACTTTCAGACCTAAATTTTCTTTTAAGGGTAAAAAAGATATTTGATTACACATTTTAATTCAGTAGACTGTTCAGATGATAGTTTGTTTAAAAAAAGTGTTTATATGCCCCATAATGTTTTGGCACGTTATGGAATTCTGAATTTACTAGACCTACTAAAGACATTCAGAAGATGAAAAAATTCCCATTTGTAAGAAACTTCATGTACACAAATGTAATCACCAGGTCTGAAAGGGTTAAAAAAATTGCCGTGATTTTTAATAGAGATATTGCATTATTTCGTTATTTAAATTCTCAGTTTTGGCCTATTACACAATTAAATTTTCTAACGATTGGATTGTACAGAAATTCATATATACTATGGTGGTGCATGCAATTCAACTTCTAAAATATTGCTTGGGTACCTTTTCTGTGCTGAGAAACGGGCCTCATGAAATTTACATTACATTTCATAATATTTTAGAGGCTGCCACCGGCCTATCAATATTTTGAATTAAGAATCCATCCACAAGGCTCTGTAAATCTGAGAGTCAGATTTATAGAGTACTTATAACAGTATTTGTTGCTATTATGTAATCAGGCAATTCCGACAGAAATATTCTCACATTAAGAAGTCGATTTGATTAGCCTAATGATATTATTTGGGAAATAGATTTTTACAAATGTGAATGACTATTCCTAAACGTTGTTGGTTCACAAATTTATATTGTAATAATATTCCAATGTTAAGTAAATGTAATCATAGTACACTCAGAAGAAAATTGCATTCTCTTTCTTAAAACAAAGACATAAAATCCAATGGCTGGTAGCAATATCTAATATTTAATTGAACGAATGTTTAAAGTACGACATTACTTACTCGTAAGTGTGAACATATTGACAGGTTGCTCCGTGAAGTAATACAAACAATTTTTTTGCAAAATAAGAACCACCTTAATATATACTACTTGTAACGTTTGGAAAACAGAAAGCTCGGGATAATTACTTCCCATTATAGCGTGTGTTTTTACAAGCACGAGAATAAGAAGGTGAATAATAGCAACATTGTTAGACACTCTCAATGCAAATCAAATAATTTATTTAATGGTTAAACAATTGTTCGTGTCATTTATGGGCTGATCTGATGTATACAGTAGAAGTGTTATTATCAAAATGTTCTGTAATTTGAAAATTCTATTGTATTATCGAAGCACAATGCACATTCTTCGTTTTATTGAAGTATTGTTCAAGTTGCTAGTGTAATCAAAATTATTTAACCAAAGAACGCATTGCACTAACTGTTAAATAAGTAACTGGCATTGAAAACATTTCAATAAGCATCGTTATTAAGAATCTTTGAAACATAGGATGAGTGAAAGGACTTACGGGTTAATATTCTACGACCTGAATTGTTTTTCTTTATATGGGAAAAAAAATAACACGACAGTCATGACTAGATAACTTTAAAATACGGATATTATAGGAAGTTCAATGTCTATTAACTGGGTGAACCTATTATTATATAAATAAGTTCTTTGAGATAGATCATGTTATTATAAAGAAAAACATATTAATAAAATTATATTTATAAAATACATTGGACATACGGATTTACCGGTGTTATCTCAAAGTTATTCGGCGTTATAGAGGGTTAATTTAGTTCTATTAAAACTTTTAATAAAATGCAGACAGACTTGACAAAACATGCGTGACATTTATTAGAAAATTTGATTTATACATTCTTAAGAGAATGATTATGTTATTTCATTTTCATTCCTGTTATTTTAAATACCAATAAATCAGCTTCGTGGATCTTATATTTCGAAGATTCTTGTACCTCGTCAATTATGTTTCTACAGTAACAGTATGATATTTTCATAGAAAGTAGGTGCACGTTTTTCCTCTTTCCGTTTCAAACTATAACGCTTTTATCCTTCTATAATCTATTTGTTCCTGTGTAAAAAGGAGAATATAGCCATAGAGAGAGTTGAACATGTCTTTTTCGTGAACTTGCAAGTGTTCTTTCTGTACGTTGTTTCATTTTATATGATTTTTAGAAAATCATAATAATATGTCTTTGTTAATGTCCCAGTCGGAGGAAAACGATTCATTAAACGTTGAGTGTGTAATTAAATAAGCATTTTGTTGAAGTGTTGAACTGATTGCACACAAATTTTTGTAACATTTTTCGTGTTGAAAGTTCTTATACTGCATTCTGCAATGGAAAAATAAGCAATATGTCTATGAGCAATTCAATATGAATCTATTTGTAGTGTGAACTCGGTTAATGCTCAGAACAAATTCCTAGAAATAAGAGTGCTATACGAAACAGTGCTACAGAAGATTACCTTTACGATATGTATGGTTTATCGCATGAATTGCCTTGGTTGCTGAATATTTTGATCAAAATTGCTATAATAGATGTTGCTAAAGTTATGAAAGCCATAACATCGACCTGGACTCTCTTGAATCAATTTTCTTGTTCAGTAGTAACAACTTTCTTAATAAAATAGGAAGAGTTTTGGAAGTAAATTTTACAAATTACAAGACAATTTCTTGTTCAATATCACGTTTTGAGGTTATGTGCACCTTCATAGAAGTGAATTATTACATAGTCAATAGAGCTAATTTTAAATGTGCTTTCTTTTATTAAAAATAGGTAAGCGTGAAGATCAACGTTAACGAAAGTTGTGTGTGCTTACGAAAATTGAAGAGCACAGAAGCATATTATTTAGTGAATTTAAAAATAAAAAAAAAATTCGCATAATCAAACAAAATTAGGAGGCTTCAGAGACTTATAGAGTACTAATAATAATATTGATTTTGCTTGTAATTTGTAGAATAGTAAAAATACTAAAAATTATTTGTGCAACAGAAGTCTACAAAGTACAACTTGTAACTTATAAATTCCTTAATATTATTAGTCGGTAAATTATTATGCCAGGGGTCCCTGATGTTCACATGTTTTTAATCGCACGAACTACTGTATTTGTGTTTTCAACAATATGTTCCTATATATTTTGGAGTTTCAACCTTCGCCTATTTTTTTGAAACATTCTGTTATACAGGGTGGGTCAATAACTATTACCACCTCAGATTCGAAGCTATACGGTTCACAGAAATATTTGTTTAACCAAAATTGCACTGTATGAATACTTGGATAGTTTCTTTGCAGATGGAGATACTTTGGATATTTCAAGATCACCTTTAGTTTTTTAAATGGATCGGTATGTTTTTCTTTCCGTAGAATGATAGAACAGCTTAAAACGAGTTCAACGTCCTATTACATAAGATCATAGTAGATGTAGGAAATGATGACCATCACTGTTAATGCAACACTAGATTCTTTTTATGACTAATTGACGTGTAAGTCTTATAACCTCAGAACTTATTGACGCACAGACTGCGATAATCCGCTGCTGCATGTCTTGATGTGTAGTTGGTACTTCTTTGTACACTTTATCTTTCAATGTAACTTTATAGTTTCGAAGATATCTGAGATGGTAATAGTTAATGCTCCACCGTGTACATGGTATTCAGAAAAAAATAATTTTAGAAATAAGTTTTTCTCTAAAATGAAATACTTATTATTGTAGTAATCGAGAGATGTGTATACGTATTAAAATTAATTTTTTTCATAGCTATAAATAATAAAGTCATTTTAACACGATGTATGTTTTATTTTAATGTTTTGAGACATATCTAAACAGTTATTTCTTGCATTACTCGTTTAATTTTGTAGTAAATATTTTTAAAGATGTATTGTATAGTTTAAAATCATTAGTGGAGTCTTGTAACTTTTATAAAACCGAATATTGCATGATGCTATGTATCAATTATCAGAAATATTGTCGTGTTTAATGTAACTATAACTTTATTAGTCCCTTATAGACGAAAACATCTTCAAATGTGGGGAAATATTTAAGAATCGAAAGAATAACATTTTTTCATTTAAGGCTTCGTTTTAAAGAAAATTGGGCTTGGAAATTCATCTAAATTAAGTGTATTAAATTTGTGCCCGCAATACACAGAAGTGACTTGCACTGAACAGACGCGTCAGTCAATGTTTAAATTCGATTATCGAAAACGAAGCATCACCCGAAAAACTTTTATTCTTTGTTTTCGACTTATTTTTGCATGTAGAATGCACTTGATTTTGAGGGCACCATGTTTTTTTCTATTTTAATTTTTAAATAATCCAATCAATTCTTTGTCATAATAGCGATGCCATTCGATTCTTCTCATAAGAAGGCCGCTTATTTGATGGCATCTGTTCGCAAATGGTTAATAATAGTTATATGTATATATATATATATATGTATATGACAGTAGATTCAGAAGAAGCAATGCTGGCTACGAGGAATTCGAAATGCCTCGCGAGGGTAGCAAAGACAATAAGGGGTTTGAGGAGGATGAACGAAGATACAGCAGACAGGTCTCGTTTGAATCATTCCCGGAACATGAAAGGCCCCCATTGCGTCATATCGATACTTATTGCATGCCAGAATGTCCCTGCTTGTCGAAGAGATATACCATTGCAACTTTGGCTTGCATAGGTGAGTATAATATTTTTCTCGACCACTATCATTTTATACATAACGGAAACGTTTCAAAAGAAGACATACCCGTCAATTTAGTAGGATTTTGAGTCGATACTATTTTTACTTAGACATACAATTAGCAGAAAGGAAACTCATGGGCTTTCCTCATTTGTCATGTTATTACGTGCGTTGGGGATAGTGGGTAGGTTTGGGTCAGTTTTCAATTAATTTGTATTAGTGATTAAAATGTAAAAGAAACACGCTTTAAATCTCAAGAATTATAATCAGTAAGGTCTTACCATCGATGTTCCATCATCATTTCATTCTATTATTCCATAGAAATCTTTAAAAATATAATAGTTCTAAAACTAGTTATCTATCTCCCTTATGGGGAAAGGTTTGGGAACAGATAATGGAAATAAATGGGTCATTGCATTTTTATATTATTGTTGGAGTAAATACAGGAAAATGTAATGTATGTATATATTTATTACCTACAAAGTGATAATACATTTATATAAAAGTAATGAATTGAATAAATGAAATAAAGACTCTGAAGGAATAACATAATAAACATAAAATAAAGACTGTGATGGAATAACATAACTTACATAAAGATACTGAAATCGTTAATTAAATTTTTAATGCAAAATATAGTAGTGAAAGCATTTCATTAAGAAGAAGATGAGAATGTTTAGATCGACCCAAATCTTCCACACACTTCTGACCCATACGTTCCGCATCCGAACGTTCATACTAATGCACCTCTGTTACCCAAACCTCGTGTTTTAAGTTACAATTTGTAATGTATAATTGTTGCTGAGACACAAGGTCGTCCATTATAATTTTTAACAGCGCGAGATACAAATCTCATATGAATTAAACCTGCCATGAAAATGCACTTATACTTGCACAAGACTAAATTCGCACTGTAACAAACTTCCCGCTTAGGTTATGAATACTCCTACTAGTATATGTAACAACGAAAAATTGGCATGCCTGTAAGGCATGCGTAACAAGGATGGAAATATACTTTCTACAACCCGAACCTACCCACTCTCCCCTTCACACACACTGTGTAAGTAAAGTTCGGTAAACATTTCAAAAACAAAAGACATCTACATTAATGATTTGAGAAAATCACTTCACCGCCCTTGAAAATAATTCCCTTGAGACACAATGCAACGTTGAAATTGTTTAAGCAGGTATTGAACGCTTTGAAAAAAATTCTCCTTAGGTATCCTCTGAAGTAAGGTTCTTAGTTTTCTAGGATGTCTGGAATGCTGGAAAATCATATACTTTTCGGTGATAACTTTAGCTTCGACAATAAAACATAATCTATTGGGGATAAATTGGGTGAATCAGACTGATGGTTCAACACTGAAACGTTTCTCTGGGCTAAAAATACTTTAACAATCGCAGTGTTATGATATGGTGACTGAAATGGCTACCACCTTCAAGTCTTCCTTTTACATAACCTCAGACACACAATGTGTAACGATGTGTTGCAACATGTTAGTTCAAGACATAGACTGTATCAGGAACTTATTACATATTTCTATAGTATATTTAATGAAAGTTGCAGTGCCATTCACCGAACATTATTGACACATAGTGTATGCACGTGTGGTTCTGGTCCCGATTGCCTAAATCGTAGCAGCATTTAATTTACATTTTTGTTTCAAGGTCCTTTGCGATATATCATATTTTTATGAGATTTTTCTCGTATTTTGAGAAGTCCGTTGACATAATTAATATATCAGAATTTTATAGTTGAGACCATGTCAGTTCTGAAACGCTCTCATGGAGTAGGTACACTTGCGGATAAACAATCTGATAAGTTTCTTGCGGCTTGTGTGAATGCAACTTACATAAAACTCGAGTACACGTAAAGAAAATCTTTCGAACTAGAGCTTACAATTAGTTAAAAGAATATTACCGTGCTTCATGGATATGGGATTTAAATAATAGCTAAAAGTCCACATTTGAATACGTATCCAAGTAAACAAATTAATGTTCATTACAGGGTTTATAATTTCGTTCGGTATGAGATGTAACATGGCCATGGCGAAATCAGCGATGGAGAACAGTACTACAGGTGACAACCACACTCTCATGTTCAACTGGACAATTGCTACCAAGAGTGCCTTGGACTCGTCTTTCTTCTGGGGCTACTTCGTCACCCAGGTGCCAGGAGGCTTTCTCGCCTCTCTGTATCCAGCAAACAAAATATTCGGCCTTGCAATCGCTGTGTCGTCGTTCTTGAATTTACTGGTACCTGGCGCGATAAAAGTAGATCCGATCGTCGACATAATCGTGCAGGTCATGAAGGGACTGGCCGAGGTGAGATGACGAAACCCATTTATTGATGAAATCGTGTATAAATATTATGTTGATCTACAAAGGTGTCCCATGTAAATTGGCCAAACTATTCGGTCCAAGCTGCTTAATGTGATCTAATACTGCTGTTTGGTGAACTCCAGGCACGTTTGCAATATCAATAGACATTTATGTTTGTTTGCCTTCTATCATTGTGCGTGAAATATCATCGTCAATATGTGATGGTCTCCTGATGTGCGTTTTTCTTTTAATGAAAAATCACCACTTCGAAATTTTTCGAACCATCTCTGATACTCGTACAATATACAGCGCCTCCGATGCTCGTTTGAATCGCACATAATGAATCTGATTAATGTAAAATATACTTAATTCACTGGACTAGTTTCTATTACTGAATACAATAGGATATAAGTTTTGTTTCAATACGTGTCTCCATTTATTCGCTAGAAGGTTCGAAAGTTGACGAAGCAAAAAACGACAGAACTTTCCCTTACACCCAGTAATAAAACATTAGTAAACATGAGCAACGACATAGAGATGAAACGTTCAAGCTAAGGTCCAAATATTATACAACTTTGAGAAAATGAAGTTAAAAGATATCTTTTAAACTAATCATGTTTCGACCACAGTACCTTAATCATTTTTTGTAGTTAAGTAAAAAATGCATCGAATGGTAACTACAAAATGTACAGTTCCATTTCAAAAACATAGAGGTGACCTTGAAATCTTTGAAACGGCTTCACTTTCAGAAAACGCACGTACACTACGTGACGCAACACTCGAAACCATTTAATTTTTTTAACGAGAGTTTTTTCTATCTTCTTCCGTCTTAACACTATGGCTTGGCCCAGTTGTATGGAACACCCTGCATGCCTACACAATTCACGGGAATACCAATAATCTTTATCTTGGCCCAGGGTGTCACGTATCCAGCATGTCACGGTATCTGGAAATATTGGGCGCCACCCTTGGAGAGATCACGTTTGGCAACGTTAGCGTTCTGCGGTTCTTATGCCGCATTGGTTATCGGAATGCCGCTTTCGGGTTTTCTGTGCGAATGGTTCGGATGGACGGCGCCGTTTTATTTCTACGGTAATGTATCTACCAATTTTTTTTCATTAGTAATTCTATGCTAACAATAGATGATATACGTGTTATGTACATTAATTACCGGCCAAAAGTACGGGACCAGAGTTCATGATTGATGGAATACTAACTCATTATTCTGTTACGATGCAATAAAAGTTACGGAATCAGTATATAGAATGTTGAAAAAAACCATTCAATATTTATATGATAACAGGATACACTGTACTGAGTAAAAATGCCTTAGTAAACATACGTTGAAAGGTCAACAGTTTCTGAGATATAAATATTTTTTTATGTTACATTTACAATCAGTTTTAACACAATACTTACAGACTCCTCTCGATTATCGTCCCGAACTCGGGTCGTGCGGGACAATAATCTTATAAGGAGAAATGCTTCAGACAACAGAGCCTCAGAAACAATAGCGGAGGGGCAACAAAGTATGCGCTTGACAGGTTCTACGGCCTTCCACGTAGTGGTGGGGATAACGCCTGGACAATACTCATGTAGAACAAGCCAGACGATAATCGAGAGGAGTCAGTATATCAATTTTCTTTCTTTTTAATTATCCGATCTGGCCCTAAACCTTTGGCAGATAGTTGTACCTCGAGCGGTTCTCCAAATCTGATTCTCGGTATGTGTAAACTGTGCGTTGACCGTTCCGTTTCGAGTAGCAAGAATTGAAATACTTAACAGGTAAGGCTAGCCCTGAGACCCAAAAATCATTCATAAGTTGGACTATTTATTACAGGTAAATAATTTTTATAGAACTTAGCATTTTTCCTTAAATTTTACGTATAATAACGTTAACTGCAAAAAGAGATTTCAATATTTTGCAAAATCCTACATATTTCACAGCAGAATGTATTAAAGAGTACACAGTAAAAATTGTAAGTGAATCGGTTAAAAACTGTAACAGCCATATAGACGATACGGTTTTTTGACCTATACAGGGTGTCTCAAAAATGTCCTTCGACCCGGAAATGGGGCACTCGGGGGGTGAATTGGAACAACTTTTTCCTTAGCAACAATGTAATCTGAGGGTTCGTTACCGAGATATTAACGAAAAACCGCGACCAATCAGAGCGCGAGTTTGCCAGCCGAGTTCCCGTGCTAGCGGCGGCTACGCGCTACGCTTGTACTAGGAAGCTCCAAACAAGTAGGTCAGCATGCATCGCAGGATACTGCGTATAATAGCGAATAAAAAAGACGTAACAAATACGATCATACTTTTTATCATCTGCCGTTTGTTATTTAAAGAGATTAATGAATCAAACGTAAGTTAGGCAAATTATGTGTAACGTAAAAAGACGAAGGCGCATTTACTTTTTTGTAATTTACTTTTTACGAATTTGCAAATTTCCTTTCCAAATAACATGTGAACGAAAAGGTAATTTAACAGAAAATGAACGAGAAGTAATCGTAATTCGGTATTGGTATAAAAATTCGTAGTTTAATAACGGACAACAATGTTACTCATAATGAATAAGTTTCTTCAAAAAGCCCCAAAAGAAATTTACGCACAGAAACTTGCAAAATTATCGCCGGAAATAAGTCATAGCTTGCGTTAAATTAAAAAAATAATAATCAGCAATAAATTGCTTGGAACTCACCCTTTTGGAAATTCACCTGCAATTTGCAAACCTGTGTCACTAGGTCACTGAACCGATCCTGGTCATCGACTGCCGAAACGGTTTATGGCAGGGTACCGCCCAGTTCGCAGGTGATCGCAGGTATACCTCACCAGCCGAAGTTAAGGGTTGTAACATTAAGTGCGTCCTGGTTATTCCACCGAATACGTACTCACTTCACTGCACGACCACTAACACTGATCACCCGACACAATCACTTAATGTATTTTTAATCCAACGTGTTGTTCCTACGTTAGGAAAATTCGTGGCCCCGGAAAGGGCCGATTGTTTCCAATTTATCAGATCTTTTACATAGACAAACACTTGCACAGCAGCACCCGCCTATCCGTTATTCTGTACGTACCACCAGAACATTGCGTAATACTTCCGTGAACTGAACATCTCTGTCGCCCGATTGCTAATCGACTGCCAGAATTTTTCCGAAAAGGCTTCCTCTACCCCCAAGTAGTTTCCCATCGTTGCATTGTGAGTTCACTCCCACCACGACAAGATTTAGGTAAAAAGAAACCAACGGGTCTAGAATAACATGTACTTTGCAGAAGTGCAAGCGTGAACTCACAACAGTATGAAGTATTTTCATGAGAAATACAATTTTTCACAGAGTTGTAATAAAATTGTCGATTGTCAATTCTGTTGTGAGTTCACGGTTACTACGAGGCCGAAGCTTTTGAGCCATAAATAACCGAAAATTCCGCTCCGGCCTCTACAAGGGTGGCCCACCAGGGCCAAGCAACGTCAACTCACACGTGTCGGTAAAATTTTTTCCCTGCTCCTCGAGGAAAACAATGTACATTTTACTTTCCAACGCGAAGCAGCGGGTACGTTGGTGGTTCTCTTTATTTCAGACATTCTCAAGCCGATACACGCGATGTCTGCTTTCTATCTCGAAGCAGTAGGTACCCTGGCAATAAATTAACGGGCTATGCGCCTTGGTGAAACTGCGCGACGATTCTTTCCTTGCACTTCTGCAAAGCACGTGTTATCCTAGAACAGTTGGTTTCTAAATCTTGTCGTGGTGGGAGTGAACTCACAATGTAACGATGGGAAACTACTTGGGGGTAGAGGAAGCCTTTTCGGAAAAATTCTGGCAGTCGATTAGCAATCGGGCGACAGAGATGTTCAGTTCACGGAAGTATTACGCAATGTTCTGGTGGTACGTACAGAATAACGGATAGGCGGGTGCTGCTGTGCAAGTGTTTGGCTACTTAAAACATCTGATACATTGAAAACAATCGGCCCTTTCCGGAGCCACGAATTTTCTTAACGTAGGAGCAACACGTTGGATTAAAAATACATTAACTGATTGTCTCGGGTGATCAGTGTTAGTGGTCGTGCAGTGAAGTGAGTACGTATGCGGTGGAATAACCAGGACTCACTTAATGTTACAACCCTTAACTTCGGCTGGTGAGGTATACCTGCGATCACCTGCAAACTGGGCGGTACCCTGCCATAAACCGTTTCGGCAGTCGATGATCAGGATCGGTTCAGTGACCTAGTAACACAGGTTTGCAAATGGCAGGTGAATTTCCAAAAGGGTGAGTTTCAAGCAATTTATTGCTGGTTATTATTTTTTTAATTTAACGCAAGCTATGACTTATTTCCGGCGATAATTCTGCAAGTTTCTGTGCTTAAATTTCTTTTGGGGCTTTTTCAAGAAACTTATTCATTTTCAGTAACATTGTTGACCGTTATTAAACTACGAATTTTTATACCAATACCGAACTGCGATCACTTCTCGTTCATTCTCTGTTACATTACCTTTTCGTTCACACATTATTTGAAAAGGAAATTTGCAAATTCGTAAAAAGGAATTTACAAAAAAGGAAATGTGCATTCGTCTTTTTACGTTACACATAATTTGCCTACATTTACGTATCATTCATTAATCTCTTTAAATAACAAACGGCAGATGATAAAAAGTATGATTGTATTTGTTACGTCTTTTTTATTTGCTATTATACGCTGTTTCCTGCGATGCATGCTGACCTACTTGTTTGAAGCTTCGTAGTACAAGCGTAGCGCGTAGCCACCGCTAGCGCGGGAACTCGGCTGGCAAACTTGCGCTCTGATTGGTCGCGGTTTTTCGTTAATATCTCGATAACGAAGCCTCAGATTACATTGTTGCTAAGAAAATAGTTGTTCCAATTCACCCCCCGAGTGCCCCATTTCCGGGTCGGAGGACATTTTTGGGACACCCTGTATATGTATGTATCTAAAAGTTAAAGTTAACATATGTTTGTATATATGTCTGCTACGTAGAGGCTACTATACTGCTCATCGTATCCGCACCACGTTTACTATGAATATTCTCCAACACCCTAGAAAAACGACTGTAGGGGTCTCCATCCACCAACCACCCCTAAGGCCCAACCCCTCTTCACGGGCACATTTTTCTATAGGTTTATGGGTTTGTTGATTACGATTCTGGTATTGGAATTTCGAAATTCCATACGGCAGATCCAATATAACGACTACTTTGGACTAAATTCACGATTTTTCATTAAATTTGCTGCAATATCCCTTAACATAGTTGAACAGAAAGCAATATAAGCTGTGGCTATAAAGACGTGTACACGTGTAATTAATATACCCGTGTTTCAGACCGTGTACTTTTTAATACACGGGTACACGGGTACGTAATGAAATACAGAGATACACGAGTATTGAAATACACAAGTACGAGCCATTCCACGTAAAAACGACCAGAGAATTTCGGTCATAGTCCAGACCTGGGCACTTCTAAAAGCATACCATTTGAAATATTATTTCAAATAACTTGTTATTTTATTTTCTAATCATTTGAAATAATTCTTAGAAATAGTTGTGAAATTGTTCTTCGAAATTATATAAGGTGACTAGGTCTGAGTTTGTTTTATTGACCTTTTCCTGAAGTGTATCACTCCTCTTCCATCTTCAACACCAGTAGAACGATCTTTTTTTTCGCGACAATATTAGATAAGTCCAAGCAAAAATCTCTCACGGATGAGCTTTTTGAAGAGCGGGTTCTGTTTAATGCAGAGATGGAAAAAGAACCGTTCGTGCGATAATGATTCGGAACCGGTACTATAACCGGTGCTACTTTATGACTGGCTCTACAGTTCCGGTACTAGGACTGGTTCTACTTTATGAGTAATGGGTCTATAACAGAGAAGCGGAACCTTTAATTGAGAACCGGTTCTTCTTAGGCTCAGTGGCTGAAGCGTCAACGTCAGTGCAAACACGTGCGTGCATGCGTGTGTGTGCGTGTGTGTGACACATGTCATATTTCTCGAGAATACTCTATATTCTTGAATATTCATGACGCAGTTAACGTAATTATTAAAAAACAGTCAAGAATGAATGTGCGTGTGAGTACGTGAATTGCACATAGTACGTGGCAAGGGGCTCTGGAAAATCCTGGAAGGTTTCAGATCTGGAGTGTTCGTGCAGCGTGCCGTTTACAAGAATAATTGATAAACAAAATCGTGTAATTAAAAGACTCGCTCTGTGCCATGGGCGATCGGTATTTCACCAGTCACCACACGCAATAGAAATAATTCCTTCAGTATTGATACATAGGGGATTCTGCGTAGGAACCAGCGATCTCGATTACACGTGTAGGTAATGAATCCGTGTTTCAGTCCGTGAAGTTTTTAATACACGGGTAGTTGGGTATGGGAATACCCGGGTATGAGCCATTCCACGTCAAAACGCACGGGGAATTGTGATTATATTCACCGATTTTTTCAAATTGACAGCATTTGTTGATTACTACGAGGAAATAAACTGTGTAAAACTTTAGCTTGCAATCTCGAACTACTTCCGATATGTTTAACGTTAAAGTTTTAAAATACTGGAAAAAATCAGAAAACAACATTAGTTTCGTGAATAAAGTTTAATCAATTAATTGTCTATTTTGGTACAAAAAATGTTTTGTCTTTATATTTGCAACAGACGGTTCCTTTTCGTAGTACATATAATATTGCTAGCAGTTGAGAAATATCGTCCGGACATAACCTGTCACGGGGATTCTTCCAAAAAATTGAGTAAACAAAAGAATGTTTCTAATTCACAGTTTTGATGCTAACTTCACTTAATTCTGTGGGACAAGGATGTGGTTCCAGGTTAGACAAAGAAAGAAACAAAGATATGCGTGTACGTCGACAATCGATATGGAATTCGTCGCTTATTGCGTTACCAGGGCCTTTATACAGGTGATACGCGGAGTCGTGTGTACGACGGTAGTATCATCTGCCGAAGAGGCGGTTGCTATATAGTGAGTTAACAAATAAGAATTGTACCTGACAACACGCGCAGGAGAGTTTTTAAGCGTACATTTTATTTTTTCACGAATCAGTTCTTTCATGTCGAACCAAAAAATATTTAACAGTTTCAACAACGTCGCATCGGTTACGTCCGAATGTTTCTCAACTGCGGGCAATATTGTAACTACAAAAAGGAACAGCCTGTTGCCAAAAATGTAAACACATTACTTTTTTCGTATCAAAATATACAATTAATTGATTAATCTTTATTAACCAAAACTATATTGCTTTTTTATTTTGTTCAACTTTTAAAAACTTTATCAGTAAATATCTCGGAAATGGTTCGAGATTGGAAGCTAAAGTTTCACACAGTTCATTTCTTCGTAATTATCAACAAATGCTGTAAATTTGAAAAATCGGTAAATATATACCTCGGGATTTCGATACCCGTGTACCCGTGTATTAAAATCTACACGGACTGAAACACGGATATATTAATTACACGTGTAATCGAGATCTCTGATTCCTACGCAGAACCCCCTACATATTAATACTGAAGGAATTATTTTTATTGTGTGTGGTGACTCTCAAAATATTAATCGCCCATAGCGAGTCTTTTAATTACTGGATTTTGTTTATCAATTATTCTTTTAAACGGCACGCTGCATGAGAACTTCGGATCTGGAAGCTTCCAGGATTTTCCAGAGACCCTTGCCACGTGCTATGTGCAATTCACGTACTCACACGCACATTCATTGTTGACTGTTTTTTGATCATTACGTTAGCTGCGTCATGAATATTCTAGAGTATTGCATATTCTAGAAAAATCTGACATGCGTCACACGCATGCACGGATGTGTTTGCACTGATGTTGTTGCTTCAGCCACTGAACCACTGAGCGTATGAAGAACCGCTTCCGACGTAAGAACTGGTACTGAATTAAGGGTTCTCCTTCTCTACTATAGAACCGTTACTCATAAAGTGAAACCGGTTTTAGTACCAGAACCGTACAGCCAGTCATAAAGTGGAACCGGATATACTACCGGAACCGTAAAGCCATTCTTAAAGTAGAACCGGTTCTAGTACTGGAACCGTAGTGCAAGTCATAAAGTATAACCGGTTTTAGTATCGGTTCCGAGCCGCTATCACACACACGGTTTTTTTTCCATCCCTGGTATAGAATGAATAGTTCAGTTATTTACAAACGTTTAAAATGAATGTGAGGTAGGAACGTAATTAATACGTTACGTTATATGAGTGAGAATTTAAGGACCCAGATTTATCCTCCAAAATGACGATGTCAGTAAAATGATATTTTTGCCGTTTTATTGCCTTATACATATACCCTCTGTTCACTGCGAAAATTTCAAGAAACTTTCTACGAAGCAAAATAAATAAAATATGGATAAAAGTTATTGAAATTATTAAATACCTTTTCAATTGTACCTTCGTTTTTTTCAAATTATTCTTTTAATAAGCCTATTATAATAAAATACTATATAATATATACATTTAAATTTAATATTAGTCACGTTTTTGACAATTTATTATTTTCGAAAGTGGTATAAGTTCATTTGCGGTTAACAAAAACACTGATTTATGTTGAAAATATTTATATGGTCACAGAATAAAATTAAATATGTCTGGAATCTTAAAAGCTTCAAACAGTCTTATTAGCGTTTAACAATATTGTTTAAATAGGAAAAATGCAAAACATTAAATATCTCAAAATACAGAAAAGTGGGGATACATTTGTATTTGTATTTATAGTGCAGTTAGTTATACCATTTAAAAAAAAACGGCTCGTATATCTCTAGTAAGAAAATGATTGAAGTTATTGTATTCGTAATTTCAGGTGTAGTCGGATTGATCTGGTACGGATTTTGGTTGTGGTTAACCTTCGAGAAGCCGTCGCAACATCCCAGCATCTCGACGCGTGAACTTCGATACATCGAAGATTCTCTTGGCCAAGGACAAGCTCAATTACCGATGCCGACGTTCTCCACGACACCGTGGCGAAAGTTTTTCACGTCTATGCCAGTGTACGCTATCATCGTGGCTAATTTTTGCAGATCTTGGAATTTTTATCTTCTGCTGTTATTTCAATCTCGGTTTCTACAGGAAGCGTTTGGAATGAAACTGGTCGAAGTAAGTGGTTCTTTTTTTCTCGATTTACTATTTTCCCATTCTAGATTGGGATATTATTTCTTTGATAACATTAGTCTCGCGGTATCCACGAAGTATAGTTAGGTTTCTGATAGACGAATGGTCGTTCGAACATGATACTCACTGTTGTCCTGCTATAAGTGCAAAATGTTGGGTTGTTCGTCGCGTTTTTAAGAAGAGAAATACACAGTCTACCAAGTGTATCAGGTAAGTGGGATCACAGACGAGATATAAGAATAGACCTAACATGCAATGTAATTTTCTGTCCCATGCTTCGAGGGCGTTAGAAGCCACCGTACCATTTCAGTATTCTATTTCTTGCTAGCGAAACCGGGGCAATAATGTATATATATATGTATCACTATACATGTGCAGTCACGGGTGCGTGTGTGCTGTGTGTTATCACAGTGCCAAACGTGGTTCCTGAAATCGAAAACTTTTATGTAGAGGTACGCTTGAACCAGCGATTTTTTCCGTGGGACACAAAGTCCTATTCTTATATCTCGTCTATGGTGGGATCACCTAATTATCTGCCGTATTTACCGTTGAATGAAAAAACTTCTCAGAACAAAGTTGAGCTATCTCAAGGGATATATATAACAGTGGAAAGAATGTTTTTACAAAGTAATAATTTTCCAATAAACGGAATCCTATACTTTTTTTCGATATCCTCATTGAACATACAAAAGCGAATTTAACTTCTAAGGCGAAATTAACTATTTAACTTCGAGATATTTGCGTCTGAACATAACTCCAGTTTCCTCAAGAGTCACGCAGCACATCGATTCACACATTCGTATCTAAACGTAAACATTAGCTGCGTGCGAATCTTTAATAAACTTCAGTTATCTCAACAGAGTTAGGCGCATTTCATCCACTTATACTCCAACATGCATACAAGTATGAGGACAGTTGATCTAAATGAAGAAAATGTGATATGTTCCAAAAGCCACGTACAATCGGTACTATATTCTTCCTCATATTATTATAAATTTAGTCGCTTCTGCTGTCATAAGCTCTAGACAATATCTATTCAAGATCTTCAATAATTAAAAATTTTGTTATCCAATTCACGTCGCAGTTGACAAGTGTGGAAATACATATGAGCGGAACTGTGTATGTCACTATATTACTGGTCCTCTCATGGCCTATGTAATTAATATACGGTGTTTCAGTTATTGGTATCGAAAACTTTAAATAGTCATTCTACGTGTCAAAATAAAACAAAAATTAAGAATGACGAAATTGTATTGGAAGCTTCGTTTTCAAGTTATTAACGATAAAAAATTGAGATAGAAACGGTTGAAACCAGGGAACCGGCGTACAAATAGTGATGGGTAATCGAGCCGTTTGAGCCGAGCCGAGCCGGAGACGAAAAGCTCGAGCCGGTTCGAGCCGGCTTGAAGCCGGCTGGAATCATCGTGCCAGCCTAATCAATGCTGGCGGCGAGGCGGCGAGTTACTGTCAAAGGCAGGAACGCCGGGCCTCGGCGAGTCGAGATGTTATCTCATACCCTATAAGCCTCCGTCGCCCGACGCTCGAGTAACAATGTAACACACAGAACGAATCACCCATGAATAAAAATTTAAACTTTTACTCCTTTCAGTGTACTTTATAAAGAAGGGTATGCATTCATTCAGGAGAATTTTTTTTCCTCATGATAATAAGTTCAAACACGATATAATTCGGACTATTTTCAGTATTACTTATGTAGTTCGATTCGAAACAGTAAGGGGTGGGATAATTGATCACAGTTTTGCCTTTTCGTTGAAGTAAAAGTAATTGTTTATTTCACTTGTATCTCATCATTTGTATACAAATTTTTAGTATTGTTGCAGTATTCTAACTTGCAAGCATTCGATAATGAAAAACTACGTTTAAGTGTTGAACTTGCTACCATTCGTGCATTGTTTTACTCTGCTAATATAGTATTAGATGTTTGAAACAACTGAGAATCGAGATTTAATGTGATGTTCCATTTATTCCTTGAAACTAAATTATTTTGTTGCTAGTGATATCTTGTGAAAAGTGGCTGCGAGCATCTTACATTTGATTCTATACGTAATTATTTATTTGATGCATTTACTGATTAAAATGATCGCATTAAGTTTATGTCTTAATCTTAGTCAGGATTATACTATTTTATGCATTATATCGTACACTTGTTTTTATCCCATATTTAGTCATAATAAATTTCTTATCTTTGATTCTTATATTATCCTTGGAATATGCTTGAATTAAAATAATTGTATTATGTCTATGTCTTAATGATCAATCTATAAATGCACTGCATTGCTTCATATTATGTTATGTATTTTACCATATATTGGTTTACAATGTTACTTAGGTGCTTTACCATGTTAAATTATAATCAATTTGCAAATGCATTAACGTATATATGTATTGAATACATGCAAAAGTGTATTGTTGATTTATAATGTGTAAATTTATTATAACATCCTTACATCTTTTTTGCAATGCCGTTCATTTGAGAAATTGAATATGTGACACCAAACTAATAAAGAATAAAAACCAATAAAGGAAAATATAATAGAGTTAAATATCAAATTAGCGCTGCACCAAGCAACAGTGCTGTTTGTAGTGGAGTAAATACTTTACAATATAATGAATACCCTATTATAAAAATATTTCATATCAAGTTATGTACTCACTTAGTGAACAAAATACAAACATTCAAAGTATACGTTATTTTTTCACGGAAGAAACCCCGGTATTTGCAATGTATGAGATTGTTTCACAATTTTTGCGAGTGTGTGCCACCTTGAACATATCAAAATGATAGTAAACAAAGTTGGGACACTTTGATGCAACAGGGCACAATGAAAAATGAATAGTATTTCGATATCCATAAACATTTAAAAGTTCAAAATATGACCACAATATAATAATTATATTCTATATTTAGCAATTTCTTCTGTTAAGTAATGTACTCAATAGCAAATCTTATTAATTTAATTTATTATACAAAGTCTCTTGTTTATTGAAGATAATAATAGAGTCGATTGTTTCGTTTTTTTCGACAATATGGCGGTGTTACAGCCATTGCGTGGTGGACCCTTTAAAATTAACTCGCCAATCGGCGTTACGTACATCTTCCATCTGGTGTGACTTATTGTTACAATAAAAAACAAAAATTTTCATTTTCTACATGACAAAAACTAAAGAAGTACATTCGGATTTTACGATTGTTTGAAAAATATTATTTGCTACAGACATTTTTGTAACCAAATTTTTTGCTAAAAATCAGAATTCTTATTCAAGCATTCACCACTTTTATAAAAATATTTATTTTGAAGTATCCCTATACATTCCTATGGTTTTTTTCAGGTAAAAAATAAAAACATTTTCTTTTTGTTCTAAAACACAACAGATCGGAGAACTGCGCAACGTTGATTGGCGAATCAATTTTAAAGAACCTACTGCATAGCGTCTCTAGCATTGTCACTTTGCTGAAGGAAAATGAGCAAACAATTTTTGTATCATCTTCAATAGATGTATAATAAGTGCCATTAATAAGATTCTCTTTTGAGTTCCTTATTTAAAAGAAAAAAATTGCTAAATAAATCTATTATTTTCATGCGTCCAAGTTGGGACACCTCTTTGAAATTTCTGAAACGATAACAGAACGCCCTGTATATGTATAATTACTAGGATTTTCAAATACACAAAAAGTACTATATATATGCTATTATTTTTCTAGACCGGTGTAATCGGAGCACTTCCGCATTTGCTGATGACAACGATCGTACCATGCGGAGGGTTACTGGCCGATCATATTCGAAAACGCGGAATATTATCTACCACTAACGTTCGAAAACTCTTTAACTGCGGTGGTTTCGGCATGGAGGCCATATTCTTCCTGGTGACTGCGAACGCAACGGTGCACAGAAATGGTACAGCGGCGATCGTCGCCCTCGCGATAGGTGTTGCTTGCAGCGGTTTTGCCATTTCCGGATTCAACGTCAACCATTTGGACATCGCGCCTAGATACGCTAGTATTTTGATGGGAATGTCGAATGGGGTTGGTACAATAGCGGGACTCCTGGTACCTTTCTTCGTGGATAACATCACAGAAAAGAAGGTATTTGCAATGAAATTAATGCCTGGTACCCAGAGCCAGACTATATTAAGCAGAGCTTCAAACGATTCCGAAAATAACTGTTTCATACTGTTATATAAAGATTCTGATTGAAAAAGTTGTGGAGAACCATTATTCTGAATAACTGTAATGAAGAACCTAAATTTCAAACTGTATCAATTTCAGTTACGGTTCTTATATCAGCTCCCGCATCACTTCTATAGCCGTTATTATTTAGGATTTTTATAAGTTTCAAATTATTATAGAACCTATTCTCATTATAACAGAATTTTACATATTACGCTTATACATTACTATAAACATATTTGTTGTGAAGTCAGTATGGTAAAATTGTGTTAAGCAGTTAAACATTTATATTAACGATAACTTTTCATATTACAAAATAATTGTACACGTATAAATGTGTCCATACGTATTTACTTACTCATAATAATTCAAAAAAATTGTTTCTTATACATAATTATCAATAGCTGTAATATGTTGTGATTTCATTTAATGTAGAATTCTGTACGACCGTTAGGAGAATCGACTCTATAACTGATCTATCGATTCTATAAGTTACAGAACTTATATGGGAGCTAATGTAAGAACTGTAACTGAAAGTGACATAGTCTGGAATTTAGGTTCTTCGTAAGAGTTATTCAGAATAAAAATTCTTCGTAACTGTTTCAAGAACCTAAATCGATATTATAACAGTTTTCAAGCCCTGATATTAAGTCCCACTTACCAAACCAAAGGTATAAAAGTCTTGTAACTTTGGAACCCTTTGGTACGGATTCAACGAGAAACAATCATTACCTCCCAACTATTGAATGGATTTAATACATGTTTGAATATGTAGAAATGATGAACACTGCATGAAGTCCCCTGTGTAATGGACTTTACAGTGTTTGGCTCGGAACAAAATATGGACTTAATACAATTATTAAGACTTAGAACGAAATAATGTTTACCATCGCAAGGAGTTAAACAATTTGAAACAAGAAAGATGTGAAATGTCATTTTTTTTAAAATGGACTTAATACAGTTTGCCTCTGGGGTTCAGATATTATCTTTACAAAATGCTGCAAAGTCGTCTCTATGTGTGTCAATACGTAAGCGATCGAGTGTATTTGAGCAATTTTTATGTGCACGAACATTAGGAATGGCATCGAGCATATGTGTAAATTTTTATTTAAGTATCATATCTTCATGTGAAGACAAATTACAATGAAATACAAACTTCAAGTCTTCGCATTACAGTTTTCCCATTGCACCACCAAGCTTTCTACAAGAGTCAGCAAAATTAGAGAGCTTTTATCTATTACTTGGGTTATGTATGATATCTGTTGTTTAGTATCTCACAAGGTATTACTTATCTTATTATTGTTTGATCTGAATACTATAGGGAAAGTTTCGCTGGTATACCCGAACAAAGAGCTTTAACAAAAATAGAACAAGAAATTTAAGAACAATTAATTTTTCACTAATGCATGTAAGATACTCTATGCGTTTCCTGGGATTATTATTTACAAATGTTAATCAATGACTGTGCGCACTAAAACGTCACTTATTTTCAATTTGTAATGATATAGAGGGAACATCAATGTATAAACAACGAACTCGAATCACGTACAATTAGGGAAGCGTTATTCTGTTTTCTAATGGGATTTAGTGTTGCATCCACAGCTTCAATCGGTTATTAGCGACAGTCTGGGACGAGTAGGCTATTCTAATTTACATTATGTTGTCCATTAGCTTCGTTTCGGTGAGAAACGTTAGTATTTTAGGAATTTTGTTCATTGTACACTTATTTCTTAATGTCGTGTCCGTCCGATTCTTTTGGCGCACATTTGACAATTTAGGGCGGTCTAGAACGATATTTCTGACAGTTTCTATACAATTACAGGCTTCGCAATAAGGTGGGTCAGATTTAACTATTAAATGGAAACGACTAACAAGGGATTTTCGCGAAGTGATACACGTCGAGTTTTGTGTAACTTTGCTCAATTGTTTATGAGGCTAACCGAAGAATTTTGACGTACTTGTTTGATGCTATTTTTAGACTTTCAGGGAAAAACCACCATTTTTATCCGAAGCGTACCTTTTAATTATTTGCTTCTCATTCCTAAACTACAAAAGATATCGAAAAAGAGTTTAGACAAATTTTATATTGTTTTTAGTTGTCCATATATGGGTAGGAAGAAATTTTCAACAAAATCATTTTTTGGACAATTTTTGTTTAAAAGAACTTTTTTAAAATTTTGTCCACCTATATACGAGCAACTATAATTTACATAAAACTTATTTAAACTTCTTTCAATACCTTCTGCAGTAGTAACAACTGCTGTTTGTTCTTTTCTGCCAAGATTCGAGTATTGTTAATGAAAGAAGTGATCACCGATGTCTAGAATGTATGTCGGTGTTAGTATTCTTCCATTCTTTTTTCCCAGTTAGTTTCCAGTTTTTGTAAGTATAATGGAAAAATATCTGTCATAAGTACGGAGGAGAATATTTTATCGATGCTTTCCTTAATTGGGAAGTATTATATTTCTGTATTTCTATATTTTGACAAAAATCTGTAGCTGTTGAAATACATTGTATTTTAGACAATATTTTTGAATGCACCTAAACATTTCATGTACCTATTGATTTAAGTATTTGAATATAATTTTCGTTAGTTATTGTCATTCATAAACGAAAGCTAATGCGATTTGAATTTTGATCTTCTAGGACACTCAAAGTTGGAAGAACGTTTTCATAATGGCTGCCTGCGTTCACATTTTCGGTGTAACATTCTACGGAATCTTTTGCTCTGGTGAGTTACAACCATGGGCTGATCCTACATTAGAGGAGCAAAAGAGCTGGAACGCGATGGACGAGTTTGGACAAACGAAGCCACCGATCCCACCACCACCAAACACTGTGCAGTCCGAATTTATTGTACGTACTTTTTCGCTTACAATATTAACGCTCTTATACATTTTTGAACGCTTCAATACTAATATAGAGTAAATTCTGGTAAGTCCATGGTAGTTTGACTTTTTCTATTTTTTTATTAACTTCGGTTATGTGCAATCTGTTATAAAATAAGACTAAACAAATGTAATTACTAGACTGCGGATTTTATGCACTTATCATAAATGTGAATTTTTGAGAAACTATAGTATACAAATTTTCATGAAGATTAGTATGAACTTTAGTATACTTTAGGCTTAAAGGAACTTTCAATAAAGGAAACAAATATTTGATATAATTTAGTGCCGTAAATTAATCTATAAAAATCTGAATTTGCATACAGATCCGCAGTATGGACATTACACAGGAGAACAATCGTGCGTATTAGTAGATAATATTCCCATTGGCTCATATCTTTTTTAGACTTCTTATACAACAGTTATATTGCAAGGAGTTAAACTCTATTTTTAATATCTGATGGTTTGCATCATTTGAGTCTACGAGAGTCAAATATTTCTGAATGTAGGTACTCAGCTGGCGAGTATATTTGGATGATGAAGTGATTTTTGGAAATGGTTGTTTGCAAATCTTGTGACTTCTTGTTTGATCGAAGGAAGTTCGAGCTCTTTTCGTAATGTGTCGTTGGTTATAAACCGAGACGCATTTGTTAAAATACGTAGAATTTTGTTTATTGAATCATTCTAAAATTTCAAAGTTGGAGGTCGATGTTGAACCGCATAGTTATATACCGTGTGTCTATATTGGTAGCAATATGCATTTATACAATGTAGTTTTAAAATTAACAAATCGTTTTGATTTAGGTGCTAGTAACCAATGTAGTTTACCTAGTTGTTTTCTTTTCTGTCAGATGTGTTTCTTCCGATTAAGTTCATGATCATTTTTCTATTAACTGCTAATATTTACGTGATCGGAAAGTGAGTCTAGGATGCAATGATAGGTCAGACATCAAATAAACAAATAATACGTTGCCAGAATTTTGCTAAGTATATTTAATTAAAAAAATATATAATTAAATTGTTACGAAACACTCCGGTTATTCCGTGATACCTAGCTCTGATTACTCCGTGATAGCACTCTGCTTACTTTCTAATACTTCTTATCAAGTCGTAATATGTTCACCAGCTATTTATTTATTCTTGTTTATATTATTATTAAGTAATTATATTAAGTCAAAAATAAAGAAATTGCATTTCAGGTTTTGTTTCTGAGTTATTAATTGTTGAAAACAATGACACTGACACTGCGGGTTATTCTACTTAAGAGGCGCGCTTTTCAATTGTTTCACTTGTTAATTTCATTTTATTTCATTCGTTAGTTTCACTAGGTCATTGATCGATACCGTGTATCACCTGGGAATCGACTGTTGTAAGTATAACCCATCGCGCCAGGCGTATTTCACGTATATTTTGCCCATACCTTCAACAATAATAATTCGGAAACGAAACCTCGAAACGCAATTTCGTCATTCTTCACTTTTGTCTTTGTTTTACATATAGAATTCACCCTGTAAAAAGTGTCCATCATTTTTATTAGTACCCTGTAAAGTAGGACTTCGATTAACTGGATCGCGATTAACTTCTTCCGATAGAGTTTCATACAAGAAAAATTTCCCGATTTGCAACGAGTCGAGATGTTCTAAATAGCCTCCTTGTTTCATCTGATTCTCTCATGAGAAACACGCGAGAATTGCCTGAAAACATTCCCACGCTTTATCACAAAAAATTAAAGGGATGAATTTTCGAAAATCAACCACACCCGATGACCCTGACTTTGGCATATGTTATCGAGGACACCCTCCCGAGTAACATTTAGAAAGTTTAATTCGCCGATCATTGTCTATTACAAAGTTATTAACAAAAAAGGATTGAAAAACGTACCGTAATTTTACCAGAAATCGAAACTTTAGTAACGTAGTGCCTTTAAAAAATACTATTTAAAGCATTATACTGATCTGAGTTGGTTAGATGTAGTTAAAAACAAAAAAGATACTATTTAAAGCATTATACTAATGTGAGTTAATTATCGCCAGTTAAAAAACAAACTGCTAGAATAAATATGTGCTTGCTTATTTCCTCGTTGAATTCCACCATAAATTCGCGGTGATAAGAATGATACCTTTTTCGTGAACTGTCTCTACCTAATTTTGTTCTTGAACTGTCTCTAATTAACTTTAAATCAATATACTGATCGGAGTTGGTCAGAGATAGTTCAAGCACTTTTTTTGTCCATAGCTTTTTAAGAACCAATGATCAGCGGTTTGAAGTATTCCAAAATTACTCGGGAGGGTGATCTTGATAACATATCTCAAGGTCAGGGTCATCGGGTGTGGGTGCTTCGCGGGAGTTTATCCATACATATAAAGTTCAGGAAAATAAAATGAAACACTTTTAATTAATTCAAATAAACACACTATGTAATACTATTTCCGAGTTAATTTGAATTTTGTCCAAAAAATGATGTCCATACCGATCACTGTACACTGTGCTCGTTATTAACATATGTTTACACGAAATGATTGTTCTTTTTCCAGAAACAACCATCAATGGATGGAGGTGCCAACGACGATTGGAATAATTACGAGCAGCAACCAGTGGACAGTACGTACGGGCAACAAGATAAACCGCCCGTGATAAGTTACGGGTCAACAGAAACGAATAGCAACAACCCGTTCCATTCGACGAATCCTTTTGCCACCGACGTGAGTGCATCCCTGGTACAACCGCAAGCTTCGGACGACTACGCATACGATGTGACGCAGAATCAGCAGTGGAACTAAACTTGTCAATACCCGAACGAATGCGTAAGGAAACCAGCAAATTTAAAGCGATGGACCCTTTTGGTTGATCACGTTAATTTTGTAACTACTTCTGGTACTTCGATCCAAAGTTTTAGCCTGTCAATATTTATCGTGGTCCGGATCAATCTGGCATTATTTAGTATTCTTCTGCGCAATGCCATTTATTCTAGTCAACGAATTCAATTATTTAATCAATTCTTCTTTTCTTTAGACCAACACATGTACCATATTAGGGCAGACAAATTGGTGGAGCTGCCTTAACTTAGGATTCTTAAGGAAGAAACATTGTTTCACTCATGGGGCAAATTATGGAAATATTAATATGTCTAACTACTCTTATTTCATTGGAATACGAATTTGTTATTTTACAATAATATTTTTAGAATATTTCCAGTTCTACTTAGGAAACTTTGAAATAGAGGTTTAAACACATGTTAGTAACGAAATAGGTAAAACAATGAAGTACCAGAAGTATATGGAAAGAATATCAGATAAGTTATTGTATTGGTTATAGTACATTTTTAACAGCATCATTGGGCTCTCACAGGCTTTATATTCTGAATTGGATTTGAATGAGTGGAATATTTCTCATCATAATACCTAAGAGTGCAGGGTATAGTGCTGTCAGTCGATGCATAAGACTTCGAAGTTATGGGACAGCTTTGAGCTCTCGATTATAAACGGGGCGGGGGGAATTTTTTCCAACGGACACAAACAATCGAAGTGAGCATTAAACCAAATCACATAAAGGCGTAATCAACGATGAGGTCCAGAATGTCTCCGCAAATAATACAAAAACACAAAGAAAACACTTTCTATAAAAAATATCGATGGAATGTCGTAAATATTCTTATGCGACGAAATGAATTGAAATGGATTATTTTATAAACGCAAATAGGCCTGTACCTTGAACACACCATACATGGCATAAAAAGAAAAATAGAAATGGCCTAACAATGAAAGTATCTATTGAAGGGTCTGGTAAGACCTTCACGAACAAATTATTATTTTACAAAGAGCAAAATGCTCTTAAGAGAAACTTAAGGGGATAATAATTCGCAGCCAAACCTTCGCAGACAATAAATCTTTGAAGACAATAACGAGAAGGTTTGGAGAAGCAACGGCAAGTTAGGTATCAGCACGATCGCTGAAACTTTTAGGTATTTTCTATTAATCTTATTTCTTTTTACGCTGATAGCAGACCTCAACGATATGGAAATTTAGAAACATAGCAATAAAAGGAAACCAATATTGAGAAATTAATATGCCGGGCGTCGAGCGTGAGTTGAAGCGCGTATTTTGAAATAGTACAACCTGTTTATTTAACAATATATGAGCGCATCATGATTAGAACGAATTAATTATGAATACGTCAATATTTTAATGACGAGAATGGCGGGTTCTGATAATTAATTATAAAATATCGTCGATTGGAAAACGCTGTTCCATGGTATGACGAGACGGCAGGGCGGGGGGGGGGGGGGGGGTTAATATGTATGTTTATTCAGGTACAAGTCGTATCTTTAGACGAAGGCTGTTATCGAAGTCCTTCGGGTTTAAACATAATCGCAAAGTTTGCGAGAACCTACTGGAATTCTCAAACGTATGAAAGTACTTGTAAGAAAGTGATAACAAGATGAAAGTATTAGTATAAGCCGCAAAGTATCGTAGAGCTCTATTTGTTGGGACCTGACTTCTTCGAGTGAAAGTTTTATATTTAACCTCTTCAGGTAACACATTTCTCCTAATTCTATTCTATCTAACGTCGAACGTACAAAATTTCACTTGCCAATAATTTCGTATACAATATTTGCTTTGGTATAATCAGTGAAGGTAATGGATAGAGGTGTGACTACATAAACATGAAATTTGTCTGTTCGTTTCAAAACCTTTCATGCTTCCACCCTTTGAAATACAGGATTATACAAAAAAAATGCCTTTTTAAAAAAAAGTAGCTTTATTTTAATTATTTTTTATTTTTAGTAGTTTCATGATTTAAAGGTGGTTTGAGAACAATAACGTCCCGCCGTGCACATGCAAGCGCCAAGAAAGTGGGACACTTTTCATACCACCGTGTTTCAGAGTTAACCTACCGTTAATTGTACCGAATTGTAAACTCGATATTCTTAAAACAAAGAGCACGAGGGATAAGACAGCAGGCTAAAAAATAGTATGACAGGAACAATTTTTTGCTAGCTATAGCCATCAGATTGTGTTCAGTAATAGTTATCAATAAATATTTAGTTTCTTTACTATAGAGTAGTAGAAAATAAGAAAGCAACAAACAGCCGTTTAGTTGAATTGAATATCTATTGATTCTATCACTGATTCGATTGAATGTGCTTTACCTGTTTCATGAAGTGTTGTGGCTGAAGAGGTTAAATGGTTTAGCAATTCAGATATTCAGGAATATCCATGTCAATATAGGTATGTTAGCCAGGATATCCAGATACTGTTCGACGCGTCGGAAAAAATTATTCGTTCGAGACCCTGGTATCGTTAGGATATTTGAATATAAAGGTGCCACGGTTCAGATACATCGAGTTCTACTGTACGTAATCTGATGAAAGTATATATATGAAAGTACGAACGTCAGTTCGAACATTAGGAACAAGTCGCGTTATTATACATTGTCCTAGGTGTTTGTACTTCGTATTAACGCCTTTCCGGTCCGCAGTCTGCATTATTGTTTTGCAGCGGTATCTGATTGAAAGAAATGGAGGCGTAATAGGCATTTAGCTCCATTTTTTAAACTGCAGATAAATACTTAAAATATTCTGTTTTTTTGTAATTGTAAATTTTATACTGTCTTCTTATTGACAGAAACAATAAGTTTAAACTTTATATTTGGTTTTAGTTTCCTAAGCAGTTCTAGGTATCAGTTTATTTGTAATTATCAAACATGGGTACATTGAACGTTTCAGACAACAAATATCACTTTTTAACATTTTTATGTGACAGAGTAAAGTGTAATCTATATTTTGGTTAGTCATTTGTTACTTTAATATTATATTTGGCTCGATGCCGTCAGCGGACCTCAAGCTGTTAATATACATGTAATTGCACACGTACATATATACACGGACACACAAACACATACAAACGTATATATGTATATTTCATTACTCTATACTCTATACGAATGTTGTCGGTGATTCTTCGTTAATCACCGTATCGAGAGACAGGATACATAGATGTGGATAATGACATGTCCTATTGATCGTATTGTTTCGCGGGCGAATCATATAACAATATAAATGTATATATACATACGTATCGAGGGTATTAACATACATATAATAGGTTGTATACAGTTAAACGTCGATCGATCGTTTGTATGTGGAAAAATCAAATGAATGCATAATTAGAAAACGATTTCTGATTAAGAAAGTATTATAGAGAAATACTGTAATATATGTATTTATTGATTTCTAAAAAATTAGAAAAATTACTTAAGCTTATTATGCGCGAAGAACTTTAGTAAATTCCTTGGAACAGTTTGGAAGGCACAGTAAACATAACAGAATTATTATTTTTAAATGACAAAATTATTTTACCTAATAGTTCTTTTCAAAACGGAAGAGTATTAGAACATCGAAATACATAGAAGAATGAAGTAATGATAAATACGTTATATTAATAAAGTTTAAGAGGTCAAAATCTCAAAATCTTGATTATTAAAAAAACTATTAGGTTATAGAAGAGACGGAAAAAAAGAAATGAGCTAGCCAATAAATCTTTACAAAAGTGATCCATCTTATGGAAGAATTGAAATATGAACTGCAATTAATTATTGACTGGAAAACGTTAAATTACATTTCGAAGAAGATAGCTTATATTTTTGATCGCATTATTACGACACATTTGAGATATTAATGGAAAAGAAAATTGTGTTACAGTTAATAGTAATTTAAGGAAATTGATTAAAAAAGAAAATTTCCGCATAACAATCCTTTTATTTGTATAAATTCAAATGTAAATGTGCTTCAATTGTTTTAACTCTCGCTCCTCAGAAATAGTAACATAAAAGACCCTCAGGTGATATTTCACCCATTTTTTTCTTTACACTTCAATTAATGTTATTATTAACCTATTATATTGCATTTCATAAAAAGTTAGTTACATTTATTAACTTATTCCTTACATTTTGCAATTATTACACATATAAATAGCATTTTTATGTTCCACGTACATATTTTTTACACAGTTCGCAAGTTGCATACGCTTTTCTATCTTCTCTTACGCATAACTAGCATCTAGAGCCTGTAATTTTTTTCTTTTTAGCTTTTGGTGATTCTTTAGTTCTTGGTTTATTCTTAAAAAATAAAAACATGTGCATAAAAAGCACTATATAATAACTTATTTTCACCGTAGAGTATTTAATGTATTTTCTCAAGGAACTTTCCCGTTACTTTCTTTTTTACAGCATTCTTGTTATAAATGAAACGTTAACTAGTTGTGTTTTACATACAACTCTATAGTTTAGACAAATACATCAAGTTATAGCATACTTAGAAAGAAATCAAGCATATTACAGCATTTGGAAATAAAAAACGGGTGAATTTTTACCCGAGGAGCGTATGAGGGTTCAAAGAAATGGATGCACTTTATATAAAACAATATGTCCATTGTTTTATTAACACTCTTGGACGAAAGTGACAGTAAAAATACACTAACAATGCCAATGATGACGATAAAGCAGGAAGAATATAAATCAGAAGGTGATCGATCAACATTTCACTGTATACATTTAATACCAAATCATTAAGTTACATACACACATGGTATACTGTCTATCAACACTACTCAAACAGCCCACCTTTTCGTTGTCCAAAAGGTTCATGAGATTAGTCAATTTACGCGATACCTTTTTAAAAGTTATAGATTCATAATACGAAATACGTATACATAAGATTTCTCGATCGTGTCGTGGTTTAAACTGATATACATATACGCATACACGCATTACACAAACGCATCGAGCTTATGTTATCTACAAAATATTTCTTCA